AGACGCATCTGAACATCCTACACACACTGAAGTTTAAGCTTCACCATTTAAACTCACGTAAGGAGAATCTCCTGAAAGCGTCTGCAGCATTGTCCACCACAAACACTGCATATGACTCAGCTGAAGCCAAATGAAGGCTGTTTTAGACTTTACAATACATTATTTGATAACAACTAAGCCAAAACATTTGAAATTAATCATTAAAGGTCCTGTGAAGAGCTTTGGAATAAATGTTATAATATATACAGTAACACACTTTACTGTAGCATGTTTCAAAACACTATAGTATTTATTATAAACTACTAGTACAAGGCAAGGCAAGTTTATTTATATAGCACATTTCGTACACAGTGGCAATTAGTACAGGGATATCCTGGATGAAAACCTTCTCCACAGTGCTCAGGACCTCAGACTGGGCCAAAGGTTTACCTTCCAACAAGACATTGACCCTAAGCACACAGCTAAAATAACAAAGCAGTGGCTTTACAACAGCTCTGTGACTGTTCTTTAATAGCCCAGCCAGAGCCTTGATGTAAACACAATTGAGCATTTCTTGAAAACATTCAAATTGGCTGTCCACTAACGTTTACCATCCAACTTGACAGAACTGGGGAGGACCTGCGAGGAGGAATAGCAGAGGATCCCTAAATACTAGGGATGTAACAAAATTGTAAATACCGTCATACCGCAATAGTAATTTTTTTCAATATTACCGTAGGCGCATGACTCAATAAAACTATATTTCTAAGAAAAGTTTGCTTAGGCGAATGAAACGAACGGGAGGTAGCGGGAACTACAATTCCCATCAGCCTAGGCGTGGCCATCATCCTTTGCGGTCTGTTGTCACTACACATCCAGTAATGTGGAAATGGAGTGTGTTGCTAGTAGGGGGGAAGAAAAAGAGCTGGAAATGATCGAACCTAAAGCGGGTTTTAAATCGGATGTGTGGAAGCATTTCGGTTTCTTTCTAAAAAGATACGAAAAAGGAGAAAAGGTGACAGACAAAGACAAAAACAGTATGAAGGCACTGCCAGACTGTGGTGAAATATAAGTCGGGGAATACGACTAAAAACAGTCATGGGGACTGCAGAACACAGCACACTTGTTAGATTAATGCAGACATTGACTTGTACCGCAAAGAGACCTCTATCTCACTCATGGCTTGTCCTCTCAAGTGGTGGAAAGACAATGCACAACGTTACCCACTGCTGTCAACCTTGGCTAAATCATATCTCTCTGTCCCAGAAACCTCAGTCCCAAATGAGAGGGTTTTTTCTGTTGCAGGGGACATGCCCAGAGATCCCAGCTTTTACCAGATTATAGTTATATGATCATTTTCCTTAAAAAACCCATCTCTATCTGAGTGAGTGAGTGATTAAATGTTGAATGTGATGAGTTTTCAACAAACTAAATTGAAAATATTTTTTGTATATGGTTTAATAGTTTTTTGTTATTAAAATTGAAGTTCCTGTTTGGAAACTTACAGATAGATGGCTAATTTGTATGTCATTGATATGTTCAGTGCTAAGGTAAATAAACACTTTTGGCGCTTTTTTCGACTCTTTTCATTAGTTTTGTTTTTCCTGTAAATTATTCAACAAATACCGTACTGTGCCATTCATACCGAGGTATTATCGTACCGTGAAATTCTGATACCGTTACATCCCTAATACAGTAGTGAAAAACATGTATCTTTTCCAAAAAGACCCTTTTCTTATAGACCCTTTATATGTATAGACCCTTTTCACATTTCTGGGTTTCTCAGTAGAGGAAGTCGTCATAGTTGGGAAAACTTACAGCGCAGTGAATAGGAGAATACAACAAATAACTTTATTACAATCTTATTTGCTGAAATAATAATAATAATAAAAAAACTCCATGATGATGTTATCAAGACTTTCAGAAAAAGGAAAAACATATTGTGAGACTGATGACGGCAGCCAGAGGAGAGAACGTCAAATGTACTGTCCTGTTCCATAGCAAAGATGATATTATACATTAATATGTACAGTTAAAGTCTGAATTATTAGCAGCCCCCTTTGAATTTTTTTTCTTTTTTAAATATTTTCCAAATGATGTTTAACAGAGCAAGAAAATTTTGACAGTATGTCTGATAATATTTTTTTTTCTTCTGGAGAAACTCTTATTTGCTTTATTTTGGCTTAAATAAAAGCAGTTTAAAATTTTTCAAAAGCCATTTTAAGGTCAAAATTATTAGCCCATTTAAGCTATATATATATTTTTGATAATCTACAGAACAAACCATCATTATACAATTGCCTAATTACCCTAACCTGCCTAGTTCACCTAATTAACCTAGTTAAGCCTCTAAATGTCACTGTAAGCTGTATAGAAGTGTCTTGAAAAATATCTAGTCTAATATTATTTACTGTCATCATGGCAACGATAAAATAAATCAGTTTTTAGAAATGAGTTGTTTAAACTATCATGTTTAGAAATGTGTTGAAAAAAAATCTCTCCGTTAAACAGAAATTGGGGAAGAAAATAAACAGGGGGGCTAATAATTCTGAATTCAACTGTAAATCTAAATGCTTATACATTTAAAAAAAAAACCTAAATATTAAAAACCTTCAAGGATTTAAGATGCTGATGACCGTTAAATGCGCCATAACAGGCTTGTGAAAAGGGTCCATTAGGTCAAAAGGGTGCTTCTGCTAAATACTGAGCAAATATACTAAGAACCATGTGGTATTTGAGTCTGATCTCACGAGACAATGTAAGTATTTTACGTTTTGTCAGTTTAGTGGTTAATCATGAATTCATACGAGTTCAGTTGTACGAAATGGTACAATTTAAAAAGCAGGCGTGACACCCAACCCCACCTGTAAACCCAACCGTCTTTGGGGGATGAGCAAATCATACTAAACTGTATGAATTAGATCGTACGAATTCATACGAAGTAGCCACTAAATCAAAAAGGTACGAATTGCCATGATATTGTGTTGGTTATTTAGTGTTTCTTTTTTATTAAATCTATAAAAAAAAAGTCAACAATTCTGTGTTTTTGTGTCAATATGGGGTGCTGTGTGTGCATTAATGAGGACAAATATGTGATTTCTTAAATGATTTTAGAAAATGGCTGCAACATAGATAACAAACAGTGGAATTTTTAGGGGGTCTGAATACTTTCTGTACACACACACACACACACACTATATATATATATATATATATATATATATATATATATATATATATATATATATATATATATATATGTATATATATATATATATATATATATATATATATATATATATATATATTAGAGGTGTGAACCTATACAGGTCTCACGGTTCGGTTAGGTTACGATTATCATGCCTTCGATTCGGTTCAATTCGATGTTTCGGTGCATCACGGTGCATTGACGATGCTTTCCATATACAGTGTTATATTTTAGAGGAGAGGCTATAACAAGCTGTCTGTATAAACACACAGAGACACAGCACCACACTGTCTCTCATTCAAACACAAACATAGACAGCACCAAAGAAACAAACACACACGCACACACACACGCACACACACACACACACACACGCACAAACACACTTAAGCCCTCGCAACAGGGAGAGCTCGCGCTGAGCGGAGCAGGAAAACGAAAAAAAACGAAAAAAATAAGCACTTTTCCGACAGTCCCTTGCTGAGAGCTCTTCTCAGCGCGTGCTATCCCGGCTCAACACATATTGCGAGGGCTTAAATGGAGCAGTGCTCGTAGTGTGGAGCGAAAAAAAAGAAAGACAGCTGTGAAACATAACCAGCTTTGTCTTTTTGTAGGAAACACACTTTAGATATTTTTAGGCTAAGAGGTTTTTGAGTTATTGCCGTCTGTAACTGAATGTGTGTCAGGAAAATCGAAAACAAAACCAACTGAACCGCGCTCATTTCTGGCGCCCTCCTGGATATACAGCGTCCTTAGCATTTGCCTATGGTGCCTATGCCACGGACTGGCCCTGAGTTGGCTGAGTGTTGTAAATACTCGCGCTCACCTCCCTCGCGACAGAGCGCATAGGAGATAAATGACGTCAGTACATAATAACCGGTTATGATTATTACTGAACCGATACCGAATTGGCCGCATCTGCATCGCGGTGCACCAAAGAAACAATTAATTTTGACACCCCTAATATATATATACATATATATATATATATATATATATATATATATATATATATATATATATATATATATATATATATATATATATATATATATATATATATATATATATGAGCAATATCATACGAGTAGCAGTGCGATATAGCTGTAGATCGGCACTGGTGGGAGGCGTGCGAGTGCTTTAGTGCCGACACCAGTGCCTATATACAGCCATATCGCACTGCTACTCGTGTGATATTGCGTTTTTACAACAGTTTGACGGCATAATTGTGTATATAAAAACAAAATCAAACATGGAGAGTCTCAAAAACCCTTTTGAATGAGGAACTACTTTTTTCCGCGTTAGATTCAAATCATAAGCTGACAGTTAAACAGTTGAGCAAGCATCTTTTAAACTTTAGATCTGTAGTGTCTGCTTTTTGCTGGCTGTATGTGGGCGGAGTAATGCACAAAGGGTGAAGAGGCTGTACGGGAGCTGATATTACTTAAATATATCACGGCTATCAGCCAATCAGATTCGAGAACCAGACAGAACTGTTGTGTGTGTGTGTATGTATATATATATATATATATATATATATATATACATATTAAGTGTAGGGACAAAATTGTGAATGAGAAACTTTTTTTTTTTTACTGATGGACACATAATTGGTCATTTTTTCTGTCATATGCTGCAACAGCTACAATGAAAACTTCCAACGTAAACATATTGCATTATGTATATTGATTTTCACTCATATGTGCGTGTTTGTCCAGCAGTGACGGGTCAAAGGGACTGATCCATGATAAACATTAGCTGAAGAAATGCAGAATGTGAAGTGAAGTTAATGATTTGTGAGCTCCAGGTGAAGTCCAGCGGTCTGAAGAGTTCGCCAGTCAAACATGTCAGACGCGCTGGTGTGTGTTCGAGATTATGAGCTTCGCGCTCGACAGATTCTGCCAAAATCTGTGTTCGATTATTATTTCTCAGGAGCCGACGAGCAGGAAACTCTGCGTGATAATGTTGCGGCATTCAAGAGGTACGTGTTACATGATGTCAAAATCATGAGATCAAATATTGCAATTATTAGAAAAGCATAATTGTGAGATAAAAGAGATGACTTGATGAGAAAAGGCATAATTAAGCTATAAAAGCTATTTATTGTCAGAATTATGAGATAGAAAATATTAAAGTGAATCAAGTCAAAATGATTTATACATACAGCTGAAGTCTGAATTATTAGCCCTCCTAAATATTTTCCCCTCATTTTTAGTTTAACAGGGGAAAGATTGTGTCAACACATTTCTAAACATAATAGTTTTAATAACTCATTTCTAATAATTGTTTTCTAATGATTTTTTTTCTTTTCTATACAAAATACTAGTATTCAGCTTAAAGTGACATTTAAAGGCTTAACTAGGTTAGTTAGGGTAAAGTTAGGGTAATTAGGCAAGTCATTGTATAATGATGGTTTAATCTGTAGACAGTTGAAACAAATATTGCTTAATGGGGCTAATAATATTGACCTTAAAATGGTTTAAAAAATCGTAAAACTGCTTAAATTCAAGCCGAAATCAAACAAAGACTTTCTCCAGAAGAAAAAATATTATAGGAAATACTGTGAAAAATTCATTGCTCTGTTAAACATAATTTTGTCTCCTACAGCATTGTCCCAATTATATTACAGTAGACCAGTGGTTCTCAAACTGTGGTACGTGTACCACTAGTGGTACGCAGAGTAATCCAATATGCCATTTGTACATGCAACATACATTTAAAAACCTAACCCATATATGAATATGATGACATATAGCCTATATTTATAAAGTCCAAGCAGCATTTCTAAGCTTTTATACTATAGGGTAACACTTTACATTGAAGTACAGGAGATTTTTTGTACTTTTTAAGAATAGTAGCCTACCATTTTTAATCAACTTTTAAAAGCACATTTTAATATAAACGTTGACATTTTTAGTTTGTTTGTAGCACAGCAGTGTTAATGTTCAAACTTTTTATAAGGTTTAAAGTAGCCAATAATAATAAATGCTATTAATAATAGTAATTAATCTGCTGTTGTACTGTATTTCAATACTGCTCATGGTGGTACTTGGGGGAAATTTTTTTTCTGAGGTGGTACTTGATAAAAAAAAGTTTGAGAACCACTGCGGTAGACCATTAATGGATAAACTTTTGATTTTCTCAGTAGGCAAGGAAAAACTGTCTGAACTGGTGAAGTCCTCCAAATCAACAACATCTATGTTAGATCCCGACCAAATTATTAAAACAATTTTACTTTTAGGATTTATGCCTAAAACCTTTAAACATATACTATACAATTTACATTTAATTATAAATAACTATTAATTAACTTATTAAAAATAGTCAAAACATAATTATTTTTCCAATATGGCAGAAGTGTTAATGTCAATATACAAACAACGAAAACTGTACACTGAAAACATACAATGGGACATTCTATTAAATACTGTTTCATTTTTATATACAACAGAAGACAAAATTGTTATTCTTCTGTGAAATGTAAATAATTTATAAAATAATTCCCAAATGATGGGTAGTACGGAACCCCGGAAGGGACGTAGTGGAGGAAAAAAAAATTGGCTGGGTGAAAAAAAAAAAAAAAATGGGTGAAAGAAAAAAATGGGTGGGAGGAAAATATATATTTCTAAGTTTTTGGGTTCTCTCGCAAAGATGTTTTGCGTTCCCTCGCAAAGATGTTTTGCGTTCCCTCGCAAAGATGTTTTGCGTTATCTCGCAAAGATGTTTTGCGTTCTCTCGCAAAACTGTTTCTCCACAAACATTTCCTGTTCACTTCACTCATGTAAACCCTCCCGTTTTTGCCGAAATTATCCCATATTTTACCATTCTACCCCACTTTCTTTACATTAAATCTGTGTGTCGATCGTCGCCTTTCACTTTGCAACCTCTGAACCAGTGAATGCACGTATAAGCGCTGACTGACAGACGCGCTCCGTACAATAATCTGATCCCAGATCAGCGTCTTTACGCGCCATTTAAAATGACACCTCTGTTATTAAACAAGTGAGCAGCAATGAATCTCATGTTTTGTTTAGTTTGATAACGGAGGTGTCTCTGTAAGAATGCACTATAATGAAAGCAGTCCATTACTTTAGAAACTGTTTGTGCTCATTTAAGAGAAAATAAGCTGTTTAAAATAAAACATGCAGGACGGAGATGTTTACATATTATTCAGTGCATTTGTCTGTTTAAACATACACCAGCTTCTTTGTGCTCCTCTGTAAATGGCGTGTACAGACGCTGATCTGGGATCAGTTTATTGTAGCACGTCAGTCAACGTTTGCATTCGCTGGTTTAGAGGTAGCATATAAAAATGTAAAGTAATGTAAAGAAAGTGGGATAGAATGGTAAAATACGGGAGAATTTCGGCAAAGTGTTTGTGGAGAAACAGTTTTGCAAAAGAACGCAAAACATCTTTGCGAGGGAACGCAAAACTTTGCGAGAGAACGCAAAACATCTTTGCGAGGGAATGCAATACATCTTTGCGAGGGAACGCAAAACATCTTTGCGAGAGAACGCAAAACATCTTTGCGAGAGAACACAAAACTTTGCGAGGAAACGCAAAACATCTTTGCGAGGGAACACAAAAATTTGTGAGAGAACGCAAAAACTTAGAAATATGTATTTTCCTCCCACCCATTTTTTTCTTTCACCCATTTTTTTTTCCTCTACTATGTCCCTTCCGGGGTTCCGTAGTACGGTGCAGAGAGAATTAAAAAAAAAATGTTTTTTTTTAATTATCTGTTCAAACTTTCTGTGATTTTTTTATAAGTTTACAAGTTGAAATGATTTTAAAACAGAGTTTGTAATAAAGACAGTAAAATCCAACACAATCTCAGGGCAATTCGTAACATTTTGATTTAGTGGCTATAATGTGTATGAATATGTATGATCTAATTGGTAAAATTTAGTGCGATTTGCTCCACCCCCAATGATTAAGCCCTTGGAGGTTAAAATAGCAAAACTGGATTCAAACATGCTCTCAACGTTTTTGCGCCATGAGCTTTAAACTTTGCACATATTAAAATAGAGCCCTTAATGACAGTTATAAGCATGCATTAAATCTCATTCACATACATGAAGTGTCATGTCATAATTATAAAGGTTTAATGAACACCACTTCAATTAAAGTGCTACCGATTTTTTTCTTTCTCAACTTCTCAAAAATCACATGTTTACATCTAATATTAAAGCTCACATGAACCAGAAGATGCGACTTTTTTCTTCTTCTTCATATTGCAGCTTAGTTCCTACAGAAACTGAATATTAAATAGGACAGCAGTGGGCGTGGCTTGTTAGGGTTTGGGGAGAGTTACTACAATATACTCCTCTTCCTCACCATTTCTGTTTGTTGTCAACATTGAAAGTTGGAGGGGGCGTGGTTAAGTATATTAGCCACGCCCAATACCTCAGACAGACCTAAACTGAGAATTTAACTAAAAACAAACAGGAAGTGCATTTTCAGATTTCAATTAAAGATTACAAGAGCGAACTATTTTTATTTCTTAATGACATGCACAGATGAGTTGTTCAGCACAAAACTAGCAATGTGAGCTAACTAAATCAGTATGGCTAGTTTTGATTTCATGTGGACTTTAAAGAGTACAGTTGCAAACAATCTCGGTTTCTGATCAATTCTAATAATGTGTAATAATCTGATTTTGCAAATGAACTCTTCATATGCTGATATTTGACTACTAGCATTTTAAAATATACATTTAATTTTATTTATAAATGCATCATTTCAAAAAAGTGCATTACAGAGAATCAAAATATTTAAAAAAATATCTAAACATTAAAGCATTTCTCTGGAAATACTTGAAAATGAACAATGAACAATGCTAATAGTATGGAGCTAAAGCTAAACAGCCCGAGCCAGTCAGTCAGTAACAGTTTGAGTGAGTTTATCACAGTGTTGACAGGCGGAATGAGTCTTTTCCAAATGTTTTGCACTAATTTTAGCTTTTCTCCGGGGTTGTGTGGGGTCATTCGGGGCCAGTTATAATTACGTGCGTTTATCTTGGCCTGGAGAACTCGTGTGGGTGGCAGACCAAAACGTAGAGCTCCGTCCACACCAATAATCACACTGTTTTACTCAGATATACATATTTACACAATGAACAAACAAGACGTGCTTGTTAGAGAGTCACGCTGTAGAACTTAAAGGGGTAGTTCACACAAAAATTCGAATTTGTTCACTATTTACTCTTCCTCATGTTGTTTAAAACCTTTATGAGTTGCGATTCCTAAATAAGATCTTTTAAAGAAAAGCTAAAAACCAGCAATCGTTGACTTCTAAAGTAGGATAAACTAATGGAAGTCAATGGTTACAGGTTTTAAGCATTTTTCAGAATATTTTCTTCAGTGTTTAATGAATGAAAGAAACTATTAAAGGTTTGAAACATGTGAAAGGAGAGTAGATTAATAGTAGATTAATTTAGATTTTGGGGTGAACTGTCCCTTTAACTGAGCTGATGAGTCATAATCTACACAAATATTATCACAAAATCAAGTGAAATCTCACTGCGATACGTCACAGGAAAATGTAAACATTTCATCCGCTTAGAAACAGTTTACACAATCAGTAGCCGTGGTGGAACTGAGCTTCTCAGCTGTTTTATTGCTTTAGATTAACATTTAAATAGTTTAAAATACATGAAACACATGTTGTGGAAGATTTGTTTTTACATATACAGCTGAAGTCAGAATTATTAGCCCTCCTGAATTATAAGCCTCCTGTTTATTTTTTCCCATTTTTTAAAAATGGAAATAATATTTGTTCAAAACATTTGTAATCATAATAGTTTTAATATCTCATTTCTAATAACTGATTTATTTTATATTTGCCATGATGACAGTAAATAATATTTGACTAGATATTCTTCTAGACACTTCTATACAGCTTAAAGTGACATTTAAAGGCTTAACTAGGTTAATTAGGTTAACTAGGCAGGTTAGGGTAATTAGGCAAGTTATTGTATAATGATGGTTTGTTCTGTAGACTATCCAAAACAAATATAGCTTAAAGGGGCTAATAATTTTGACCTTAAAATGGCTTTTAAAAAAATTTAAACTGCTTTTATTCTAGCCGAAATAAAACAAGTAAGACTTTCTTGAGAAGAAAAAATATTATCAGACATGCTGTGAAAATTTATTTGCTCTGTTAAACATCATTTGGGAAATATTTAAAAAAGAAAAGAAAATTTCAAAGGGGGGCTAGGTGATGTTTCAGAGTCAAAATGATGCATATAATGTCATATTTTGCAAAGCCATAATTGTACGTCTTGATGAGATAAAGGAAAATTAAGAGAGGAAAACAAACTGGAAGTTGTGACTAAAACAAGTCAGTAATCAAATGAAAAGTCACATTTATATTGTAAGCATCAATGATTTTTTTTGGTGATAACACATTTGTTAAATTTACTTATTTATCAGAAAAATTTAACCTTCCCAAAACTCTTTTTTTTTTTCGATAACTTCAGACTTGTGAATTTATAAGAAAAACATTTTCCCATTTTCCCCATGCACCTCCCAAACAAGAAATTAATCAGGTTTTAGATGCAAAACTTTTTAAAGGCGCAGTCTCTAAAACTAATGAAACTATTTGCTCATTTATTAGACAGTTAGGTTCTACATGCTTTTTAAAATAAGGGTGCTTTCACATTTGGTTCAATTTCCAGGACCGTACCCAAGTTCGATTGTGTGTTCACACAGTCTTTTTTTCTTCTGAACCCCGATACGCTTGCGTAATCGAGATGCTGTTTTGTTTACGGCTGTTTCTAGGTGATGGTCACAAAAGCAAAGCCCCAAAATGAAAAGATATCCGCATTTCCGGGCAATACTTTTACTGAATAAAATTAAACATACCATACTTTAACATCAAACGAACCCGGGTGCGGACCAAAAGTGCTAGTGTGAAAGCACCCTAAAGCAGAGCTGGGAATCAGATTTCAATCATGTTTTCACAGACGAGGAATGGTCCAAGGCTCTGTCTTGTCTACAAACCTCTTCTGTTTGTGCTCGTCTAGAGTATAGAGTATATTGGACTAAGGCAAAAATATCTCAAATTAACCCTGGTTTTCATCCAAGTTATGATCGGTGTCAACAAGCTCCAGCCACTCTTGTACATACTTTCTGGCTTTGTCCAGCGCTAAGCACTTTTTGGGCATCAATTTTTAAATCAATTTCTGCATGCCCCCTAGTAGCATTATATTTATCTATATATATATAAATGCTAAAATGCAAACTAGAGAATGTATGCAAGTAATTTGAATATTTGTTTTGAAACTGTAACCTTCTTAAATTGATTTTAACGACATGGAAAAAAAAACACAAAAAAATGATCGTCACGTCATTGATATATATATATATATATTTGTGAGACGTGTAGTGTGTCTGTGTGTCCTGCAGGTGGTGTTTTTACCCTCGTGTGCTGAGAGATGTGTCCAGTGTGGATTTGTCCACCACGGTTCTGGGTCAGAGAGTCAGTTTGCCCATCTGTGTGTCTGCCACCGCCATGCAGAGAATGGCTCATCCGGATGGAGAGACGGCCACTGCCAGAGGTCAGACCTGCAGATACAACAGCAGAACACACGGCGGCGCTAGTACACTTCATACAGATTCACCTAACACACGCTGTCTACTGCAGCGTCTGCAAACATCTCAAACAAAAGGCAAAATACACCAGTGTTTCTGTGTGCATATAGTCTAAAAGTCAATTTCTGACACTTAAAAAATGTGAATATAGTCTAAAAGTCCATTTCTGACTCTTAAAAAATGTGAATATAGTCTAAAAGTCCATTTCTGACTCTTAAAAAATGTGAATATAGTCTAAAAGTCCTTTTCTGACACTTAAAAAATGTGAATATAGTCTAAAAGTCCATTTCTGACTCTTAAAAAATGTGAATATAGTCTAAAAGTCCTTTTCTGACACTTAAAAAATGTGAATATAGTCTAAAAGTCCATTTCTGACACTTAAAAAATGTGAATATAGTCTAAAAGTCCATTTCTGACACTTAAAAAATGTGAATATAGTCTAAAAGTCCTTTTCTGACACTTAAAAAATGTGAATATAGTCTAAAAGTCCATTTCTGACACTTAAAAAATGTGAATATAGTCTAAAAGTCCATTTCTGACACTTAAAAAATGTGAATATAGTCTAAAAGTCCTTTTCTGACACTTAAAAAATGTGCCTATATTCTAGAATTCCACTTTTGACTCGCATAAAATGTGTCAAGAAGTCCATTTCTGAGTCTTATAAATTGTGCATAAAGTCTGGGAGTTCACTTCTGACAACTATAAAATGTGCATTTAATCTAGAAGTCCATTTCTGACACTTATCAAATGTGCATAGTCTAGAGATTATTTCTGACACCCATAAAATGTGCAAATAATCTAGAAGTCAAATGTAGATGTTTATGAAATATGCATAGATTAAAAGTACATTTATAAGACTTTTAAAATGTGCATATAATCAAGAAGTTAATTTCTGAAGTTTATAAAATGTGCTTAGAAGTCTATTTATGACACTTTTAAAATGTAAATATAGTCTAGAAGTCCATTTCTGAGTCTTAAAAAATGTGCATGTTATCTAAAAGTCATTTTTTTACGTGTATAATCTAGAAGTCCATTCCCACTTTTTTAAAATGTCCATATAAACTAGAAGTAAATTTCTGAGTCTTATAAAATGTGCAAAAAAATCTAAAAGTTAATTTCTGACATTTATAAAATGTGCATATAAGAAGTCCATTTCTGACACAAGAAAATTGCCTAGAAGTCAATTTCTGACTTATAATATATGCATATTGTCTAGAAGTCCATTTCTGACAACTGTAAAATGTGCAAATTGTCTAAAAGACCATTTAGACACTGACACTTATAAAATGTCCCTATAATTCAATTTCTGAGTCTTTTAAAATGTGCATATAATCTAGAAATCCATGTCTGACACAGGAAAACTGCTTAGAAGTCAATTTCTATATATTCATGTAGTCTAGAAGTCCATTTTTTGATTCCTATAAAATGTGTCTAGAAGTCAATTTCCGACATCATTAAAATGTGCATGTAATCTAGAAGTCCACTTTTTGACAACTATAAAATGTGCATATAGTCTGGAATTCCATTTCTGACACTTATCAAATGTGTCTAGAAGTCTTATAAATTGTATAGTCAAGAAGTCCATTTCTGACAACTGTAAAATGTGCATATAGTCTAGAAGACCATTTAGACACTGACACCTATAAAATATCCCTAGAAGTCCATTTCTGAGTCGTTAAAACTTTACAATAAGGTTCATTAGTTTATGCATTTACTAACATGAAATAATCATGAACAACACATGTACAGCATTTATTAATCATAATTAAACATTTACTGATGCATTATTAACATCCAAGCCCATGCTTGTTAACATTAGTTAATGCACCATGAGTTAACATGAACTAACAATGAACTACTGATTTTCATTAACTAACGTTTATTAACATGAATAAATACTGTAGTAAATGTATTGTTCAATGTTTGTTCATGTTGGTAAATGCATTGCTTAACATTAACTAATGAACCTTATTGTAAAGTGAGATCTCTGAGTCTTATAAAATGTCTGACTTATAATATATGCATCTAGAAGTCCACTTCTGACTCTAACCAAATGTGCAGCCTAGTTGTCCTTTTCTGACTATTATAATAAAATGTGCATATGGTCTAGAAGACCATTTCCGACAATTTTAAATTGTGTATATATTCAAGGATCTTGAGGATCTAATCTAGAAGCCTCTTCCAACCGGGCCAGGGCCAGCCAAGTGAACCGTGCCTGAGCCTGATTTAGAGCACTCACACTTCTCAAACGATCCAGGAAACGGGCCTGGGCACTGTTCGGATAGCAGAGTGTGAGTACCCCCTTAGACAATTTGCACAATTTACAGTTGTCAGAAATGGACTTCTTGAATAAACAGTTCATAAGACTTCTAGACACATTTGATAAGAGTAAAACTGGACTTCTAGACTATATGCACATTTTATATGAGTCAGAAATGTACTTCTAGATTAAATAAACATTTTTAAAGAGTCACAAGTGAACTAGACTAGACAATTTATAAAACTCAGAAATGGACGTATAGACACATTTCATAAGAAATGGACTTCTATTCACATTTGATGAGAGTCAAAAATGGACTATATGCACATTATAAGTGTCAGAAATGGACTTCTAGACTCTATGCACAATTTAAAAGACTCGGAAAAGGAATTCTAGACACATTTGATTAGAATCAGAAATGGACTTTTCTAGATTTCTAGGTTATACACTGCAAAAAATGCTTTTCTTACTTAGATTTTTTTTGTCTTGTTTCTAGTCCAAATATCTAAAAATTCTTAATTCGAGAAAAATTTTCTAGACAGGCAAAACATATTTTCTTGTTTTAAGAAATAATTTGCTAATATTAAGTGATTTTTACCCTAAAACAAGCAAAATAGTCTGCCAATGGGGTAAGCATAATAATCTTATGTCAAAAGGAAAAACACGATTATTTTCCCATTAGCAGACTGTTTTACTTGTTTTAGGGTAAAAATCACTTAATATTAGCAAATTTTATCTTAAAACAAGACAACATCTAAGAATTTTTAGATAATTGGAATATAAACAAGACAAAAAATCTAAGTAAGAAAAGCATTTTTGCAGTGTATGCACATTTTATAAAACCCAGAAATACACTTTTAGACAATTTGCAGATTTTACAGTTGTCAGATATGGACTTCTAGACACAATTTATAAGACTCAGAAATGGTATTCTAGACACATTTTATAGTCAAAAATGGACTTTTGTACATTACATGTACATTATATATACTTTTTATAAGTGTCAGAAATGGACTTTTAGATATGTAGATTTTATAATAGTTGTCTCTTCAACTGCTCCAGAACGCAGCAGCACGAGTGGTCTTCAATGAACCTAAAAGAGCACATGTCACTCCGCTGCTAGTCCGTTTGCACTGGCTGCCAGTTGCTGCTCGCATCAAATTCAAAGCTCTGATGTTTGCCTACAAAGTGACTTCTGGCTTTGCTCCTTCTTATCTGCTCTCACTTCTGCAGATCTATGTGCCCTCCAGAAACTTGCGTTCTGTAAATGAACATCGCCTCGTGGTTCCATCCCAAAGAGGGAAGAAATCACTTTCCCGAACTCTCGCGTTCAATCTGCCCAGTTGGTGGAATGAACTCCCTAACTGCATCCGAACAGCAGAGTCACTCGCTATTTTAATGAAACGACTAAAAACTCAACTATTTAGTCTCCACTTCACTTTCTAATCTGCAATTGCCTCTCTGAATATCACACTAACTGTACCCAAAAAAATAAAAAATACTAATACTACTAATACTTTCCTTATTAGACTTTACAGACCTGAAACTTGCCTACAGCACTTATTCATTGTTGCTCTTATAGTTGTGTAAATTGCTTCCTTGTCCTCATTTCTAAGTCGCTTTGGATAAAAGCGTCTGCTAAATGACTAAATGTAAATGTAAGTCAAAAAAGGACGTCTAGACTGTGCGCATTTGATTAAAGTCAGAAATGGACTTCTAGGCACATTTTATACGGGTCAGAAATGAACTTCTTGATTATATGCGCATTTTAAAAGTGTCAGATATGGACGTCTAGACTGCATATTTCATAAATGTCATGTAATCTAGAAGTCCATTTTTGAGTCTTATGAAATGTGCATGTAACCTAGACGTGCATTTTTTGACATGTGCATAATGTAGAAGTCCATTTCTGACTCTTATCAAATGTGTCTAGAGGTCCATTTGTGACTTATAATTTGTGCATACAGTCAAGAAGAACAGTTTCTGACAACTATAAAATGTGCCTAGAAGTACATTCATTTCTGAGTCTCTAAAATGTGCATCTAGAAGTCCTTTTTTTGACATGCATAATTTAGAAGTCCATTTCCCACTCTTATAAAAGGCGTGTATAATACATTTCTGACTCGTATGCAATGTGCATATTATCTATATATCCATCGTAACTTTTGACAAAATATCTTATAAGTAAGACTTTGTATGTCATAATGTTGCATGCTTCTCTTTTCCTGTGGTGCTCCTGCTGTTACTGTCAGTACTAGTGAACACCGCATTACCACAGTTCGACTGAAGTAATAATTCTAGTAATTACAGCATTCAGTCAGAATCTGTAATCTCCCCTGCACACATCTGATGGCACAGTTAAAGCACTAGTTCACTTGCAGAATGAACATTTACTAAATATTCATGCTCTAGGGAATATCTGAAAATGTTTTTGTGTCAGACTGCGTCCCACAACACACTTGCAGCCAATAAGCACTTAGAAGCATGTCTGTTTACTACACTACCTGACAAAAGTCTTGTTGTTGATCTCAGTTGTAAGAGCAACAAATAATAACTTGACTTCTATGATCATTTGGAAAAGTGGCAGAAGATGGATTTTTCAGATGAATCATCTGTTGAGCTGCATCCCAATCATCACAAATACTGCAGAAGACCTACTGGAACCAGCATGGAACCAAGATTCTTACAGAAATCAGTCAAGTTTGGTGAAGAAAATATCATGGTTTGGGGTTACATTCAGTATGGGGGCGTGCAAGAGATCTGCAGAGTGGATGGCAACATCAACAGCCTGAGGTATCAAGACATTTGTGCTGCCCATTACATTACAAACCACAGGAGAGGGCAAATTCTCCAACAGGACAGCGCTCCTTCTCATACTTCAGCCTCTACATCAAAGCTCCTGAAAGCAAAGGAGGTCAAGGTGCTCCAGGATTGGCCAGCCCAATCACCAGACATGAACATTATTGAGCTTGTCTGGGGTAAGATGAAGGAGTAGGCATTAAAGATGAATCCAAAGGATCTTGATGAACTCGGGAAGTCCTGCAAAAACGCTTTCTAAGTCATTCCAGGTGACTTTATTAATAAGTGATTTGAGTCATTGCAGAGCTACTGCACAACCACAAGTCCACAACAAGTCCACAACTGGACCACAACTGGGGCTAGGTTTCCACAATGAGCCCGGGTTGTAAAAAACACAGAAGCAGATGCATAGACTTTGATTGAAGATTACCAACACAAACTTTTTTCAATGGATTAACTTGCATGGATAAATTGTTTACCTAAAGAACAATAATGTGCACCATCAAAATAAACATTGTAAATTTTGTTATCACATAGACTTTAGTGTGTGACTGACCAGCTTCTAATAATAATAATGTATTCATTATATATTTATAATCACACTTAATAAACAGTCTGCAGAAACACTTTGATTGACTTTCTCCATTTGTACGTGTCATGAGAGGAAAGCCACACCCACTACTGGCCATCTCTGCCTCATTAGCATACGTCATTAGTCTTGTTTTTGAATCTGCCACTATGCTGGGATGCATGAATATGTAGCTCCGCCTTCTTTTGAATAGAGCACAATCTCATTTAAATTTAAAGTGACAGTCACCTAAACTGCTCAATTAGGATCAAAGCCTAAAAGGGGTAGTTTCAGAGAGTTATAAAGCATTATTTGTGTGGTATTTTGAGCTGAAACTGCACACACACACACACACTAGAGACATCAGAGACTTATTTTACACCTTGTAAAAGTGGGCATAATGGATCCACTTTAAGGATAATGTTCAACCCAGAAACCAACAACATCCTGAAGAGTGTGTGTTTGTGTGTGTCTGTGTGCATGTTTCTGTGTGTGTTTGTACGCAGCATGTCTGTCCTCTGGCACGGGGATGATGCTGAGCTCCTGGTCCACCTCCAGCATTGAGGAGGTGTGTGAGGCTGCACCGGGAGCCGTGCGCTGGCTGCAGCTCTACATCTATAAAGACCGAACGCTGACTCAGTCTCTGGTCAGGAGAGCCGAGGACGCCGGCTATAAGGGCATCTTTGTCACTGTGGACACGCCTTATCTTGGCAGGCGACGCGATGACGTGCGCAACCGATTCAAGCTGCCCTCTCATTTGAGGTAAACGCTGAGACAACCACACTTGACGTGTGTGTGTGTGTGTATGTGAAAGAAAGTGTCAGCAGAATAACTATTTTTGTGTGTGCATGTGTGACCTATCAGAACACAAATGTGCATAATGACAAGAGTATGAAACAGGTATTACAAGAAGAAGATGACTTATGAGGACATTGCTGATGTATACATCTTTCTAAAAGCTTATGAATCATGTTTTTTTGCACACAAATGCAGTTGTCTATGAGGGTCGGGTTTAGGTACAGGGTATAGTTGATACAACAACAAATGTGAAAAAAGTTGGGACAGTATGGAAATGCAAATAAAAAAAGACAGTAGTGATTTTTAAATTGACATTGACTTGTATTTCATTGCAGACAATGTGAACACAAAACATTTCATGTTTTGTCTGGTCAATTTCATTTCTGTAAAACGGGAAGTGACACAGACAACTAAAGTAGGATCCACGTGCAGGTTTATTTAGTGGTCAGTCAAGCAATGGTCAACACAGGTGCAAACAGATGTATAAAGGCAGTCCAGAATCGTAGTCAAAGTATCAGGCGAGAGGTCAGCAGGCAGGCGGCAGACAGGGAGAACTGGATAAACAAGGCTAAGGCCAAAACACAGGAAAACAAGACTAGGAAAACGTGTTGTACTGCTACTTTACAGATTAAGAACACTTCCGGGATCTACAAGTGGCTCAAACTCGCTCATTTTGAGGCAGCAACCGGCAGACGTGCAGCAACTTTAACTATGAGGTAAACACAAAACAAAACTTTCCATCCGGAGCTCCTTCACGGGACTCCACACTTGTAAACAATCGCTACATTGGGTTGCCGCCATTCGCGTGGCTCTTGGTCCCGCCCCGACTCGTCAGCGTTCCAAGCCGACCAATCACAGAGCTTGCACTACACGTTGTTGCGACGTGTAGTAACATTTTTTGAGAGGTGCACGTCAGTGACGGCGATGGCCACGGCGAAGGGCTATGCGTCAGTGCCATAGCATACGCCGGTGTTTGACGCAGAAGTATAAATCAGTCTTTAGTAGTAAGCCAATGTAATGTTAATGCCATAATGTAAATCCTAAATTCATGCTAACAAACAAATGATCAAAAGAAATATATTAATGCAATTCAAATATATAAAATATGAATTGATGTTTACTTTGAACTTATTCTAAATATATATTTATATTGTTCAATTATAATGATTAATATATATATATACGACAACACGACAATGCAAAACCACATTCTGCACACATTACAAAGTCCTGGCTGTGGAGCAAGACTATACAGGTACTTGACTGGCCTGCTTGCAATCCCTACCTGTGTCCAATAGAGAATGTGTGGCGCATTTTTACAGCACAAAATGTGACTACAAAGACCTCGAACTGTTGCACACCTTAAGACTCGTTTGCAGGAAGAATGGGGCAAATTTACACTTGAAACACTTCATCACTTGGTGTCTTCTGTCCCTAAACGTCTTTAAAGTGTTGTGAAAAGGAATGGAAACATAATAAATTCTGTACTGTTTTGAAATGTGTTGCAAGAACCAAAATTGGAGTATTATTATTATTTTTTTAAATCATGAGAAACACATTAAACAATGTTTGTTGTGTTGTCTGTGTAATGGAGGCCTTTAGAGGCCCTTTAGCCTCCTTGGTAGAGCAACCGACTCCCATGCGGAAGATTGCTGGTTCAAGACCAGCTCGGAGTGAGTTCGGTGGTGTAAGACTGGCGGGGTTACATTGGTGCCGTGACCCAGATTTAAGTAAGGTTTAGGGGGGTGAGTGTAGCAGAGGCCAGTTAGTAAGTGCTGCGCAGGTAAACCTCACTC